ATGTCTTGGAATTATTACTTTGATAACTAGTATTAATTTCAGTGAGGGTTTTTTTCCCTTGGGATTTTCTATGTATATTGAAAGCAAAAGAGAAAAGGTAGTTGAGACAGCTTTTCTTATTTCTGTCATTAATCACTGTAGAATTTAAGTTTAAATCACCTCCAGTTCTGCCTTCTTTATTTCTTTTCAATTGACCTCTCTCCACTAGTGGTCATCTTTGACTCATCTTTCTCTTCTGCCTGATACACACCTGCAGTTCTCAATTTCCCCTGCAGCTGTGCCCAATCACATATAAAAATGACTCTGGTAGTTAAAACATACATCTGTACTTTGTAAGCTTTTGCAGCCTAGTCTCCTGTGCGAGTTTCATATTATGAAACGTCATCCTACTAACAGCTTGGATCTAATTTCTTACTGCAACATCCATATGTCCTGGTTCTGACAGCGACATTCCCATGCCATTCATTTCCTCGCCATATCTCTGTATGTTCTTCCAGGGTGCTCCCTAATTTCATCATAGCATTTTGAGATCTCTATTTTCTGAGATTTTTTTTTTTAAGACTCGTTTCTTCTATGAAATTCACAGAAACTACCCATTTGGTTTAAAGCTTTCTCCATTTTATATATTATAAGGAGATTCCAAATCACAGCATCACTCTGCATCTTTCAGTGCACTTTGTTTTATCCTTTTCTGGTTTAGACTTCAAGTTGCTCAGGGCTGAGTCTGTCTAGTGTAGTCCCAAGCACATCACTGGTGCTTAGCACAATAAGGGTAATAAGCATTCACTGAGCCTTTAGGCCTAAACTCATAATCCTTTTAATTTAGCCCATATTGTAATATAAATATAAGGAAATTATTTTAAAAAGCAGAACAGCCAATTTTAACTGTTCCGTTGCTTTCCTTTTTCTCATCCTTTGTCTGCACTTGTCTGTTTTAATTCGAAACTCTTCAGATGATTTTTTTTCCCATGTTTGTCAACAAAATACTATGTCACTGGTATGGAAAATTCAGTCACATATAAATAACTTTATTTTTTTTCCTGTTTGTAAATTAGTCTGTCCCACATATTTATCTCTTGGAAGCTCAAGACACTCTGCCTATATGCTTTTCCTATATATCCATGACATGCAAACTATAATCCTGTGGGTTTTTTAATTTTTTTTCTCGTGATCTATCTAGTACCACTTATAGGTGGTAGTTACATTTCCCATCACAGACCAGGGGATGTTGTAACCCAGCAGCTCTAGAAATAGCATCAATCCCCAAGCTGCAATTAACTTAAGTACATCTTTACCCTCCAGAGTCTTAGAGGGGAACTTTAATTTAACACCTTTAAATTCTGAGCATCATGGAATAGCTTAAACAAGAGCCAAAATATAGTTAGCATTTTTAGACAGCTTCTGAACAGTTACTCTCTAGGTCAGGTAACATAAAAAAAAATACAGTGTTTCTGTAAACATGATTATTTACCTCTCTTTTCCTCTACTATCTTACCATTTATAGTGTTCTTCAGATATAGACCTGGAATAAAATGCTGTCATGCTATTGTTATGCCTTAAAGTAGATACATATTTATCATATCTTGACCAATATTGTGAGTTTTCTCCCAAATAAATGATTATTGTCAACAAAAGAATGAGAAGAAGAATGAACTGATTCAATTTGGGGAATTTATCATAAAAAGAAGCCCATAAATGTCTAGCTGTTTGGGGTTATGAAAAAGAAAACCAAGCCTGAGGAAATGAATGGGTGCTACCCACAGCCTTTCTACAGCACAATAGTTCTGACCTACAGAAACCACAACGAGATCTGCCAGGTACTGACACTTATTGTTGTGGCAGAGCAAATGTAAATGATACTGCTTCCTCCCTGGAAGAATTTTCTGAGCGGTATTTGCTGTCCACCCCAAGACTGCTTGTTAGGAGGACAGGAATAGCCCTGGGACAAGACAACCCAACCCCCTTGTCATGATAATATCCTCTAACTACACATTATGCACTGGAGTGATTCACATTCACTTACAGTATTTGGGCTATGGTGTACTTAAGCAGCATTTCAACTTAATGGGGGAAATCCATTTTACATTTTAAATACCTTATAAATGTGTTTGGAATTGTGCTGTATGGCCTCGTGTCTTAAGATTTGCTACTATTAGGCTAAAATTAGACATTATCCCCTTAAGAACAAAAACAACTTTTTCATTGCAAATCTTGACTTCTTTTTTTTTTTTTTTTTTTTTTTTTTTTTTTTTTTGCCAGAGATCAGTATTTGCTCTGTTAAATGTTGTAGGATTTGATTAGGAATCCTCCCCTGAAGACATAATAATGTTTTTCTGGTTAGCATATGACTGCAGTGGTGTGTGATGTATGTTGTGTGTGCACTCATGTTGCTGCAGGAGTATTTGTTGAACCTTTGTCTGCTTTCATGCATGTATTGGTTATCTCTGGTAAACCCATCCATTCTCCCATTTATTTATTTAATTGTTTGTTTGTTTCTTCTTTGTCGAAGTACCAATGATCAAGGACATTATTTAAATTGTCTCCCTGTAGAGATAATGCTGGCATTTTGATTTTGAAAGCAGAAGAGGAATCTTCCAGAAATCATTTCAAACAATTTGCTGTGAATAAATAAGATCGGATCTGAAATCATCCTTGGATTAAATGCTTCGAGAGAAAGCCATGTTAAAATCAACTTGAACAGCAAACATAAATTAATAGGAGATGATGATGCCAAGGCTCAGTTACTGTAGTAGTTTGCATTTGTCTTTACCATGTTTATTTTCACTCCATTTAGTGCTAGTACAAATCACTGAAATTATACTTCAATCTTGCGGAAAAAATAATTTTCCTGAGAGAGAACATTATTTTTCTTTCTCCCACGAGGTGTAATAGTTATTTCCTCCACACTATGCCACAAACTTGTGAAATTCACGCAGCAGACCTTTTATGAGTGAGCTATCCTACAGTTACTGTACTACTCAGAAAAAAAACTACCGGGTGTCTGAATAGCTGAAATACCTCTCAAATGCATAGAGCAGAGAATGCAAAATCCTTGATGTCACATTGGGTTAAAGGTTTAATGAGTAATACAAGATAAATATTATGATGATAACTTTTGAAAGAAAATAAAAACTAAACGTTGGCTGAAGATCTAAATAAGAATGCATGTGGGACTGTAAATGCAATGCAGCCAAGTAAGTTGGAGTAGGAGCCTTGCATTTTTATTTAGAAGAGTTTAAAAATAGGGTGTTTTTTCTTCCTCCTTCACAGTGCTGTCTTTAAAATTATTTTACCATAGTGTGCACTACACTTCGCACTTTACATTTCTAATTAAAGTGTTTGTTGTTATTTGCAGCCTCACTGTGTGAAATTAAACAAGCATTTTTTTAGCATCCATAAAATAAATCAAACATTTTTCTCATCTGAAAGGCACACAATCCAGTCACAGCAAGCTTATTTCTGTTTCTTTTGTTTTCTTTCTTTTTTTTTTAATCTACTTGGTAAGCCAATTTTCTGCTTAAGAACTACTGTTTTAAACTCATACTTGTTTTGATATGTGGGTTTTATCCTTCCCCAGCACTCTATGCAATATACTTCAATTTTAAGTGTTCAAAGATTTGCACTAAAGAGAGGGATACCGCTTACACAAGCTAGTGCTATTGTTTTTTTCACACATAAAAAGAAAGAAGGTATGTTAACTAGCGTAATTCAGGCCTGTTAGTTACAAAAATTAACAGATTCCTTGACTTGGATTATTATGATTTCTGAATTGGGTTTGAGAAGTTGGCATGTACAGCATCCTTCGTACTGCTGATTACTGCAAGGGGAAAATGATATAAATGTGCAGTAGTGATGCTTGACTGCTGCATTGATAAGGGAAATGTGCATAAATGATGTGGACAGTATTTAAATACATTTACTATCCTTTTGTAACATACATGTCTCAAAACTAAAAAGCACTTTTAAGAAAAACGTATTTATTTTACAGAAAGTAATTGGTTTTACTTCGTGCAAAGTACTTCCAGAAACGTTCATTTGAATTCCAAGGCTAAGTGCTTGGTCCAAGATTTATGGAAAGCACTTAACGTTGAATAGGATTATACGTGTCACAGTGTGGTATTATGGCTTTGTCTTTTTCGATCCACTGCCCTGTCCCCTGCTCCACAATTCTGACAGTTGCCCTACCCACTGCTGAGGGAAGTCCTCCAGTTTTACCTTCCCGTTCCTCGCAAAAATGTTGGTTTTGTTAACTGGAGGATATATTGTGATTTTAATGTTCCAGTCTTGAGTTCCAGAGAGTTTAGAACTGCTGCTTGCCAGGAAGGAATCCCAGTAGATTCCTTCATATGGACTGTTAAAGCATTATGTACGTAACATTTACTAGCATGTGGCTACTTAACAGATGGATAAACAATTGGCAGGTAATGGTGTACCATCTTCTTGGGGGAAAAAAAAAAAAAAAAGGTTGTTTTGATTGTTAGTCTGTGTTTCATAGAATCATACATGTAAAATGGTTTGGTTTGGAAGGGACTGGGTAAAAATTAGCCAGTTCCCCCTGCCATGAGCAGGGACACCTCCCAACAGACCAGGTCACTCAAAGCCCCATCCAGCCTGGCCTTGAGCACCTCCAGGAATGGGGCATCCACAGCTTCTCTGGACAACTTGTGCCAGGGCCTCATCATCATCATAGTAAAGAATTTCTTCCTTATATCTAAACTAAGTCTACCCTCTTTTAATTTAAAGCCATTCACCCTTGTCCTATCACTACACACCACGATAAAGAGTCCTTCTCCAGCTTCCAACTGTAAGGAACACTTTTTTCATAAGTGTTATCTTAGCCTCATTAACATGCCTCTGTAGTGGCATGTCTCTGCTTTAGTTCCTCAGTTAGTGGCATGAAGAATTATTAATAAAAGTAATTCCTGTCAGAGAAACTCAAATCTTCCCTCTCAGATGAAAGAATATCCATTTTTCCCCCTCAGAGTGCCAAATACCAGTTACATTCAGCAAAACAGGAAACCAGAACAAAGAGGTCTCTAGGCTTGCAACTCTTCCTCCAAGAGGCAAATGAGGCCACTGATGCGTGAGAAGCACTTTATCGGCTCCAATCTAAGGAAAAGCGTTTCTCTTGTTTTCAGCCAGAATATGAACAGTAGTCTCTAGAAAACTTTCATTTAAGCCTAATTTGTTTAAACAGTATGTTAAAACATCTGTTTTGAGATACAGCAAATAGTCTTCCTCTCCTCTCAGGAATATTTCCCTAGTATAGAATTTCTCTGCATACAGCAACCAGCCCTACCCAAGACTTCATTTCAAGACTTTGCTTTCAAAATTACATGCAGGTAGGAAGCTTCTCATCTCACGGCTCGTTAAATTAGGCCTTCCAAATTAGAAGGCTTTACTTTATTTTAAATTCAAGGTAATGAGCAACATTTTGTCCCTCTATTGCTCTATCATGGCAGAACAAAAGTATTAATTGTATTCCATTTGGTTGCTGACTTTCAAATGATCAGATAACAACATTTATTTTTCTGTTACTATTTCCATTGCTGTTTTCCAGTAGTCACTCCTATGGAGTTGAAAAATCCACAATTCCCATGTTTTCTTCTCTGTTGTCTTAAGCTTCAAGGCCAGTCTCTCTTCAGAATTTAACAGTGCTTTCAGTCTTTCATCTCTCAGATGCTTGATTACTGTGTGTATCTTCATGATTTTCTTGTCGCTGGTGAGGAGATGTCCAGAGAAGAGCACTGGTTTGGGATCAAAATGTGTAGGTGAATAATGCAGTGCATTGAAACCTGCCACAGGAAGACAGAAATCTGAGTCCCAGAGGGCCTCAAGGCTCATTTCACTGAAGTTATGGAAGCTTTGAAGACTTGCTTGGGCAAGACTTCTATTTCACATATTTGAAAGGCAGCTATCTGGGTCTCTATGCATAGTCTTAGGGAAAACTGCAGAACAAATAACACTTCACCTTGTCTTTATTTGGGGTTACAGAGCTCTGTGGTCACAGTAATCCTCTGTCCACAATAACCTCTTTTACAGGTTGCCTTGCTATGCAATTTAACACCCTAATAAGCTACACATTTCAAGCCGTTCTAACACCAAACCGCTGCACAGTAGCCACTGCACGTTTTGTGGGCTTAAATGACTAGCTGCAGAGGCTAATTCATTGGTGAGCCATTGGAGCAGGTGAGAAAAGGGTTTTCAGCCTATATAACAGATTTCATCTTTTATTTCCTTTTTGATATTTATTTTCCTGATATTTTGATATTTATTTTCCTTTTTTATTGATCGCTGCTCTTGTTTGAAATCAGCTCCCCTGGTTTTCACAAGATGGGTGCATTGACTTCTGTATTAGATGCTTTTGCATCCAATATTTTGCTTCTTGCCTATTAAGTAGTTCTTACTGTGTCCCTAACTACACATCTTACACTAGCTAAGACTTTTGTATTAACAAGCAGCTGGTTTGCAGCCACAGAATGGCAACAATCCTTTTTTCTTGCTGCTTCTTGCAAAAGAAGCCCTTTTACTCTCAAAATAAGTAAACTGTCAGAATGAAACATCCTAATCAGTCTGATCAGCATCCCAAATAACTTGCTTATAAATTCATTATGTGCTTCTGAAGTAATGGGTGGGATGCCAAAAAAACTTCATTTCTTATTCTCCTCCTTTGCAAGATGAAAGGCTAAGTTGTATGTTCAGTTGGTCTAGTGATCTGTGGAAATCAACTTTAAACTGCTTGAGTATTTTGTGTGCATTTCTGTTTTCAGCCTGAAATTTCCAGATTTCCTCCATCTCCCTTTTTGTTACCCCTTCCTGTGTAAATAGTACTTGCATAGCACCTGGACTCAAAAGTAGGGGCCTTTAGTGGCAGGTCAGCAGCTTTAATTTATAGTGTGAATAATGCTATCGGTATACCTGAGGGTGGGGTTTGGCTCCGTTTGACATTCTCCTTTCACTGTTTCCCTCTGCATGAACAAACACCAGCATGTTCCTGTCCAACTTCCACTACTCTTACTCTTCTAGGGACATTGGTTTCCTCTCTCTTTCAGAGAAATAGCTTTTTATAAGCCATTTTGTAACTTTTTTTTTTTTTACCACTGGTACTCCAACACTCCCAGCTCCAGTCCTGTACAATACCTCTCTCAAACACACATGTTGTAGACCATGAAACTTCATTGGACTCCAATGTTGCCTCCATCATTTTATGGCATTTTGCATGCTTCCACACCACAAATTCTTTTTCTTTGCCCGCTGTTTTCTTTGCTTCATATTCTGCCTTTGTAGTCTTCCATTTTGTTCAGCCTTCAAATACCCCTAAACTGTCCCCATTTTCTACTATCACAAATTCATTCTATGGCACCAAAGAGCATCTACCACCTACTCGTTTGGCAATGTACAGTGCACATTGTTTAAACATGCCATTGTTGCTACCACTACAGTATAATATTTTCTGTTATCATGGCCCAGAGCAAATGATAAAAAATTCTCTAAGTGTGATGCTCACAGTAACCTACTACAAACTTTTCCGGAAATTTGGGGATTTTTCCCCCATTCTCCTTGTGAATAACCAGCTATTCTTGGATATGTCAGCTGCTCATTTCTCCTCCAGTAGGACTGCTAGGACCATCCCCTCTTTAATCCTCTATTCTACTGACTATTGTATTCCCTGAGCAAACAGATATGGCTTAAACTATGACAAAAAGTAACCTTTGAAAAGCCTCACAACTCTATAAAACGTGTGCTTGTTTTAGCTTACTGAGCAATGAGAAAACGTGTTGTCAGTAGTCTGTTTTTTAAACCATTAAAGTCAAGAATAAACTGTTATGAACTACTACCAAAGTGTTTTGGATTTTTTCCAGGTTCAGAGTTACGTCCGTACGGAATGGGATCCACTCGATGCTCGCTTCAGCACCAAGGAGCCTTACCGGGTTCACATAGTCGAGCACTCCATCTCTGCAGACAAAGAGCCCATGGCTGACAGCTGCATCTACGATTGTGCTAGGAACAAAATTCAGTGTTTGTCAGTCACCAGAATACCACTGCCATCAAAGGCCATCAGCTGTTGCAGAAATGTTACAGAAGACAAACTAGTCTTGGGTTGTGAAGATTCATCAGTGATTCTGTATGACGCCTACAACCAAGTGACCCTGTTAGCCCAAGCAAAATTATTGCCTGCTTTAATGACTTACCACCCTTCTGGAGCCATATTCGTGGTTGGCAGCTCTCAAGGGGAGCTGCAGCTTTTTGACACAGCACTGTCCCCGGTTAAAATTCAGCTGCTGGCAGAAGAGTTTTCACCTGAGGCCACTTTGCAATTCAGCAAACACTTTGACACGTCTAGCAGCCTCGTCCACATCCACTGGGCTGCTGCTCAAGGTGCATCTCCCTGCACTGATGGCACAGATATCCATGATCTTTTGTTGGTTAGATTTGACAAAGGACCCTTAGGAGTACTTCGCTTTAAACTAGGTAAGTTACTGAGCACATTTATTGAAACTTAGGCTCTTGAGGAAACATTTGTACCTTAGAAGTTTTTGGTAGCTTGTAAACATCCAAATTTTAGATATATTTCACCAAAGCGTTGAAAGCACACAATTCCAATGATGTCTGAAGATGTGAACCAAGGAGTCCAATACGTTTCACAATTACTTAGTATCATTTCTTGTGGGGTCTGGCAGAGTTGGGATGCTGATTTCTTGTATTAGGGTCCTGTTACGTTCCCTGCTAGTCTAATAATGCATGACAATTTCTCATAGTGAAAACTATTTTCATCTGTAGTATGCAATTATAAGAATTGTATTTTTTCTCTAGTATTCCCTTTGACATCCCAAAATAAGCTATATGTCATAATAGGATAGTAGTGTTATCTCTTTCCTAAATGAATTATTGTTTTGTATGATGCAACTGTCTTTTCCATTACAATGTGTATTTGTCCCAGTACTCTGTTATTTCTGACTTTAGTACATGAAGTTACACCATTTTTTCCCTTTAAAACTTCACCCAAGAAGGAAAGTTTTCATAACCTTCAGAGAAGTTTGGCCTCTCAGTTAATTTACCAGTTGTGAATAAATGAAAAAGTAATAATACGCAACTTAGAATTTATGTAGCACTTCTCATTTTAGATGTAAGGAGGCTTTAAGAGAGTAAAAGCGTAACTAACTCTTAATTTACAAACAGAATAACAAGGGTGAAGGAAAGCTGAAAGGCTTTTTAAAAGTTACACAAGGAGTCAGTGCTTGAACTAACAATAAAACCCCTGTGGTTCATCATCAGTGAGAACCGTATTCATTCCATTCAAGTCAAGCAAGTTAACAGGGGTGCAAACCCAGTGTGAGAGTGAAAAAAACAATCATGCTTAAATCTTCTGACTACCAACCCAGTGCTTCACCGTGGCAGTCAGCCATTTCGAATATACTCATCCTGGAAAATTTCAGTATTTTGCCCATTGTCTGTCCAAGAAAACAGAATTGCCTTTGTAGATCTTTACAGGAGGTTTTTATGACTATTTTGTGTAAAGCTATTGAGATTAGGAAGAAGCCCATTTTTTAAAAAACTAGGTGACAGTGAAGTATGAAACTCTACTTTCTCTTACTGTTTAAGTCATGAATGCGCTTTTTGTCTGGGCAAAATGTCTAAAAGTAATGCAGACCTGAACATTTTAAAGTCTGATTTTACAAAACCTTAACTACATATGTCAGTGCAAAAAGATAGATTATTATAATAGGATGTCACCAACAAAAACATTGGACCGATTTACAGTTATACAGTTTTAAACAGAGCTGAACCAGATTGTTGCTGTTATCCAAAATTACTATTAAAGCAACTGTTTACCATTTATTTTGAGATAATTCAGCTGCATTGTGTTCAATGACAGGTTTAATAGTTGCAGAGCACCCCAGAACACTAATTAAAACATCTATTTGATGTTTTTGTGCATGTTGGCCATTAAAAAAAAAAAAAAACAACAACTCTAAATTACCTCTTACCTGTCAAGCAGAAGGCACTTTACCCACATCTACCTTGCTTTTCTTCAGTCCTCCCTTGTGGGGTTTACTCACAACAGCTTTCCAGAAAGCACAGCTTTCCCCTTGCTATCTTTAGCACATTTATGTTCCTACGGAGGCAAGCAGGCTCTCAGTGCAGGGATTTAGAGGCCTTTCCTGCTAATTGCCAGCTTGTAAACTTAATTGGACTGTCTCCCTGGGCACCGTTCCTAAATCAATTAGGCAGTGAGTTGGCTGTCACCTCTTTTTCCCAAGTAGGTTGCCCGGAAGCGCACCACCCAAGAGAAGTCAAGCATCCAAATGGGAAGATGTTGACCTCTACAGCTGAAAGTTATCATGGTTGAAAATTCATTCTGTATAATTACTGTAAAATCTCTTCTAGGAAGAAGGCAAAGCCCTCCCTATCCCTCCCTCCCTCCCTCCCTCCTCCTCTATAGCCCACTGCGCAAAAACACGCTGTTCTCTATTGCATCCTGATTTTCAGCTTTACCACTCAGTTTTCCACACTACCAAGGCAATGCTGTGTTAAACAGTCAGCCCCTCTTCCCAACCTCAGCAGTTTTTAGATCTCCACTGCTGAAGAAATAATGCAAATAGAAATTATACTGGAAATTTAGGGGTCCATAGCAGCAAAATCCAGGCACTCAGGACTGAAATCAAATCTGTAATTAACTCATGGCTATGCAGTGTAGCTCTTGTGCCTCGTGCTGCAGTAGAGCACTCAACACAGAAGGCAGCCCAGCTGAGTAACTTCGGTCAACAGAACAGGTCAAAAGTGGATTTGAGGCTGTGAATGTGCTTAAAATTTGGCTTCCCTTCAGGGGTACTGCTGAACCAGCACATATGTCTTACATTTGGCCTCTAATTTTGTGAAGAGGGTAGAATAGCTACTATGTTTTTTTTTGTTGTTGTTATTTTTAAAACATATTTTTCTGTTAATAGAATTACATACTAATAAACAGAAAATTTTCAAGGCAATACTGCAGAGTTTTTGAATGCTTGTTTTTTTTTTTTGTTTGTTTTGTTTTTTTTTTGTATATAGTAATCAGCTACTTTTTTTAGAATAAACTGTTCTTACCGGCACCTGAAACACCTCTGGTTTTACTGTTCCGAAAAAAAAAAAAAAAAAAAAAAAAAAGGATTTTGGGATCCTACAGGTACTGAGATACTGCATCATCCATAGCATTTTCTTTAATTTCTTCAAGCAAAGAAAGATCTCCCATAAAATACAATTGAAAACAAGCCATGTAATTGATTCTGAAGTGCATATTTTCATATTTTTACTAAATCACTACGAATGTCTGGCACTCTAGGTAATGTCTGTTCTCTTGGATTCATGGAGTGATAGTCCTTTGTTTTTATCAGTTATAAATTACATCAACATTATTTGAACCATTTCCCATGAAAATCTGTTAACTATGTCAATGAGAATAGGCAAATAAATTTTTAACTTCCAGCAGCCGTTTTAAGATCTTGGACAAGATTTGTGAATCTCGTGTTGTGCTGTCTAGTTAGATTTATTTCAGGAAAAGATTCGTGTTAAATTTACCCTCAAACATTAATGGCAAATATTTTTGGTGTTTAATGCCAAACTCATTTTTAAAAGCACTGCAGCTTCTTGTCATTGATGTCAACCCAGCCCTTGGATAACGCCAAAGTTGGTACTGGTGCCAGTGGTTCAGCGCTGCTGGCCTAGAAAGATATTTTAAATATAATGCTATATTTAATTAGCATGCAAATAAGTATTTTCATCTTCACTTAGTGATTAATGTGAAGATTTCCCAACTTATATAGTGCTTTAAAAACATGAAACGTTTAAGACAAATAAATTCTACTATAACAAATAGATGTTATCACAGATGTGCACTCGTTAAACATAGCTATTGCACTGTATAAAGTCCATAGACTTTAATATATGCAAATATTAAGTGAAATACAATAGACAAACATATCTTTTACTTTAATAATGCTACAAAATTAAATATTTCTCTCTTACAAATGTGTATATATGTGTGTGTGTGTATACAAGGGTTTTTTTTCCCCCCAAAGCATCAGATCTGTACTTGCGAGTTCTCAGCAGGTTACCTCACCTTGAGCTATAGTCAGATGTTTTCCATGCACTTTTTTCCCCTCTATTTTTATTTTCTGTCACAAATGATATTCACAACAATGTTTACAAAAATTCTCTGACATCTCTTTTCTATATATCATGTCTGCTTTTTCTGTTACCTGATTTTTTTTACTAGCCATCCTACGGCTCCAAAATTCATTTTGAAAATCAGCTTGTTCCCTTTCTCCTCATAATTTTTTCCTTGAAATTAATTTTGACAAACACCATTGGAATGTAGATTGAGATTTTTTTTTTTCTTTTTTAAATGTTTTTAATTAGTGAGAGGGAAACAGTAGGTTTGTTCTGGTCTCTTTCTGATATCTGGAGCAGTAGCAATAAATAATATTTATTGCACAGTGATACAAAGCACAAAAAAAGTACTACAGTGACGAATAAGGCCTACAGCACATGATCATCTACCTAGTCAGAGATGATAAAAACCTTACTCTCTGCAATTTTTCAGTCACCTTTTCTGTTTAGAAGCTGAGACCAGCAAGTCAAAAAATTTGTGAATCTGTTTTAATTAATACTGGCCGGAGACTGAATGCCCTCATGGAGTGGGCAATCTGTCATTCTTTTTTTTTTCCCTTATGGCAACAAGACCATGGTTTCATGTGTACAAGTTCAAAAGGTTGCTAGTTGTTGATATTTTTCGTGATATCAGCATATCAGAAGAAATACCTGGTTCCCTGGTTAGAAGTTAGTTCTAGAGCAATTGCAATAAGTAGAAGATGTCATTGAGGTCTGAACTGCTGTAAACTTGTATACGTTGGTAAGTTTGTGTGAGACTGATGCTATTTTTTTTTTCTACTGTTGTCCAGCAGTATTTCTCTACAAGAAAGTGAAGCTAGGAACAGGAATTTATTACCTCCCACGCAATAATAACAGACTGAGAATAAGCTTTTTCTACCATGTTTAGAACAAACTTCATTACGTGATCTTTTCACTAGCGGCTATTGGCCACATTCACCCTATCCTCCATGTGTGAAGTTCACTGATAGCTTTTCTCCACTGTCCAAAGCACCCTAAATCTAAATAAACCAAGATAATAAGGAGCTATATCACATAAAAATTTAATAGTGAAAATCGTTAACGTAAGCTTTCTGATTTTAACCAACACCAATTATTTTTAGCTGTGCTGAAAAGTAGTCAGCGATTGTTTTACACTCCTCATAACACAGTCTTTGGTTTTAATATTTCCTATAAAAGGTGTGATCACGAGAGGACAGCTGGGCCTTGTGGAAATCATCCACCAGTACATTCGTTATGATGAGATACACGAGGCAATTAATGTCCTGAACACCATGAACTGGAACACGATGGGTCGTCAGTGTTACATATGCTTGAGCGCCATTGTCAATCACCTTCTTAAACAAAAGCTTACACCAGACAGAGAAGGTAAGGGACTGATTATATTTTTAATGTATTTTTGTGGAGTCTTTGTAATTCTTGTGTGGATTATGATGATATATTTATTTACTTTATAACAAAGACAATAGAGATAATCCAGACAATCGTTTGATCATGGTACTCCATAATTAAATGTCATACGTAGAGGAATAATTTCAATAAAGTCTAGATCAATGTGTTGATTCCATCTTAGTTCACATTTCTATCAATAGTGAAAGTAAAATAATGCATATTTTAACATATATAGGATAGGCATGAGTTAATATGTATAACGCTGTGTTATATATGTTATAACTTTATTACATTATAAATTTAGCTTAATGCAGGCTAGTGTTAGTTAATACAGGCCTCAGATGTTTGTTTTATAATCATACTGAGACAGCACTGGCTTAAGGAGGGACATTTGCCTGTAACAGGGACAAGAGATTTTAGTATGGTTTGTAAGGTGCTTATGAAGGGTCATTCTTTCACTACAAGATCCAAAAGCTTTGAATACACTATCCTCTGCTGCCTCCTTTAGGATTACAGCTTTTGTCCTCACTGTAATCTTCTGGCCCCCTGCAGTAGTAGCTGGGGTCCCTCACAAGAAATGATGAATTTTAGGCTCAGCCTCGTCTCTGCTGAAGCCTGGTGTCATGCCTTCCTCTTGATTTGCTGTGTATCTTGAAACTCAATAGACTTCAAGATTTGAAGTGCCTTGATTTAGCGAAGGTGTTATCCTCCAGTCTAGCAGGCAGACAGCTGGGGACCAGGCATCTTTTGTGGCAAGAAAGAATACTTAGGGTTCTGGTGCGTTTGATGATAGAAAAACTCCAAGGTGTCCTACACTGCTGCCAAACCATCAGCTATCGCATTTTGGGGGATCTGATTAAAAAATCTCTGCATTGAAAATATAGCATATCAATTCTAAATAAAACATGCTTTTAAAAGGACCTATGGAAAAAAAAATCTAAAAAAAAGCTGATTTTAACACTCTTGTAAAAATATGCACATTATAAATAGATGTCTGTGTGTTTGCCCCCATGCGGCTTCCTAACACTGTTTACAGCAGACGGAATTTTATTCTGTCCAGGAGTTATTCTACATGAAGCTAACAAATTTGGCATAGTAATTTGTTTTCTTTTTTTTTTTTTTTATTATTAGCAAAAAACCCAGTGAGGCCTTTTATTTATAGCGATGTGGCAGTTATCTTTGAGATCTTTATTCTGCCTTCAACATCAAGCTGGGCTATCTAATGAATGTATAACTGTGCTAGTAGTTGCTTGTATTCCATGTAGGTTGGAATATTTCTGAAGTACAAAACATGCTGTCAAGAAAACAGCAATGGCAAGAGCGTACGGCTTGTTTTCGCGAGGTACCGCTGTATTCAATTTAATCTAAATTGACTGCTGCTTTGAAAGAAAATACCTTTAAAGTTCAGCTTATCTTACTGTCTAGATTTAAGATAACACAAAACCTAATTTACTAACAGTTTGCCTGTGTTCATAACACACTACTATTAGCACATTTAGTGCAATCAAGCCTAATAAAATAAAATGTAACTATGCTCGTAAATAAAGAACCTTTATCGCTAAATGCAGAAATGGCTAGTTCAAACGAACGCTAATAACCGAAAATCAATGAGATTTTGTCTGCCTAATGAGACAATAGGTTGGCTGTATTTTGGTTTTCAAGCCCCCACAAAATTC